GCTTTCATGGAACTCGAATATTTATTATCGTATATACAAGAACCCAAGTTGTCTAGTTTTCAGTGTTTCGACTGAAGTTGTATATGAACCTACATTTCTCAATTGTCCTTTGTACTACATGCCTCGCCCATCTCTTATTTTTTTCTCAGTCATCCTATTAGTAGGACACTAGATTAACTGTAAATATTACGAAGCTCCTCATTATGTAATATTCTCTATAATCCTGTTAGATTTTTGTTTTATAACAAAAGTCTATTAATAATAAAATAATTCGTATTCAGATTTGAATTTGAGTGTAAAACAACGTTTAAATCCCTTTGATACCCTTACGGTATGTTTGTCACTTAAGCTTGAAGTAATGATCTAACACTCAAGGATTTCTGGGTTGTTTGTTGTTAGTTTTTTATTGGTTTCTACCCATTAATTTTCTCTGTTTCCACTTTACATAATCACCGTGGTCTTGGACTTAGCATTAACGCTGAGATTGAAGGGTCGGACTCTTTTTAGAGCATGGATATGTATTTAGTCTGTCTGTGCCTTTTTGTGTTACAGTGTGTTTGTAGAGGCCTTGGCGATTATCTAAACTACAATTCAAAGAGTCCGGTTGAATGAATTAGAATTTATAATTGTTCTGCAGTGAAAAGGCCTTTTTTCAGAATCGTTATACGGTGTGTTGAGCGCTGTGAGTACTTCAATTTTATAAGGGAAAACTAAAGAAATTAGCTGATTGCGCGTCGAATTGTTTATGCGAGAGTTTTTATCTCAATATCCTGATGAGATGTCAGGTTCAAGCTGATTGGGCGTCTGAAAAAAAGTCTTGATTCCAGGGAACAGATATTTCCAGCCTAGGGACTCAGATTTGTGTTTTTATGCATGTTGCGTAAGTTCTGAAGCATGCCTTCGTCGTATGTATAAAACGACGAAAATTTTGTGAAGTGAGCTGTTCGTCTGTTATATTATCTGCATTCCATTTCCTAAAACTCCCGGTTGATCTGTATGTAATATGATGGATTATCTAGGTCTAAATTTGTCAGAATTTTTTTATTTTAGCCTATATTAATCCATTGTAACAAATGTACTATGTTACATCTTCACATAACGGACTAATTTCTTATATTGCTTTAAATACGTAAAATAAAAAATACTTTAAATAAGGCTTACAGATAGAAATGAGATTATATTGTCTTGTAATGCAATTGACTTGTGATGCTTGAATGTTATTCGTAAAGATGAAGTTTAACAAAACTTTGAATTTTATTCGGTTTAATTTGTAATTATTAATGAACATATAGCTTTGTATGCGAACTGCTACGTGCTCTGTCAGCATCCACATTTTTATTAGATGGTTTTACATATTTTTAGTGTAATATAGATCCGTGATCCAAAAGTCACGGGCGAAATTTAAATCATTTTTGAAGGAGGAATAAAGTTGCTGTTGCGGTGTCACTGCACTCTTGTATTCATAAGTTAACCGGTTCGAATCTTGGTCGGGGTACCTGCTATTCTTAATGAGGCATTTTGTGTCTTTTCTTAATCTCTCCAAAATTAATGCTGAGAGTATGTCTTAAAAGTAGGATTTGAGGTTTTCATGGCGGTGAATACGAATGTCTTCTGGGTTGTAGCGCCCAGAAGACACCCATTTTCGTACCCCCTTGCTTCACTCCTAAAAAACCGTTAATTGTTCACAGTTTATGATCGCCTTCCGAAATCATTTTGTGCCATATAATGTCTGCAGTAAATTTACCAAGAATTAATCACGGAAACAGGGTAGAGAGGACTTCTGATGATGACTGTCACTTAACTGGTAAAGAATATCTGTTATCGTGTTCATACGAGCCTGCCACTGGACCATATGAATCCAGTTCACGTCTACACACTGTGTGTCATTAATACCCATTTAAATATTGTAATGTCTGTGCTGAGTTTACGGCAGACTAGATCCCAGATTCGTGTTACTTACGAGCAGCTTGTTCATGTTGAGTGGAGTGTTGATTGCTTGACTTGGAAGACTTGAGTATCTTGCAGGATTGCTTGTACTGTGCCCATACTTAACCACTGGTCCATATTTATACTGCAGTTGGTGTAACCAGAACGAAGGTGGTGTCGGATTAACTACAAAAAATAAATCGACTCTTGAATTGCCCTTGTCCTTGAAAAGCAAGTGTGTTCATTCTTCCTTTTGTAAGTTTGTAAGTGTGTGGTATCCTTTGTGAGATGGTTTGTCAAGCCGATGTATAATGATCAGCAAAATTGAAGAAGGAATAGAAAAGTTGCATTGTCTTTGGCAAGGGGCGGGGGTTCTGCCACTGTGAGTCGAGGTATTCAAGGGGACTGTTGAGATGGGTGGGTGTCAGCTCCTCCTCTGAATGACATTTTTGTCTTTTTAAACTTGAAGCAGCTGGGATCTTGGGTGTGGTCTTTAAACGACCATCTCGTGATGGGAGTCGTCCATGTATTTATTACGTCCAGATATTATGTACTCGTTTCTTTATTTACCACGCCACGTTTAAAATGACGTAATGTCTAAGGAAGAATGTCGCATTGCTCTGTACGAACAGTTGACACGCCATTATTTACGCCACAGCTATGGGTATTTTTAGACACAATTATGAGTGAATTGTGTTATTGTACATAATTCGTTCCACATTTAAAGATGGCGAAATAGAGGAAGAAAATTTACATGACGCCATCTTTGACTATAATGATCAATTTTAACTAATTAATACTGTAATGACTGTTTATTAAAGCAAACTAAAATCTATTTATGCAATTTATTTGTCAGTGTTTATCCAGTTGTTCTATTTTTGCAAGTATTTTAGAAGAGCTCAAGAAACGTGTGCTTTTAAGGAAAGTGGTCGCTATTATTGAAATGGTTCGACAATTTTTCATAAAATTCTTGTGTTTTAAATTTAATTAAAATCCGGTTATCAGTTCTAGAGCTGATTCATGCGTCACATCCGCTGCGCATAAACTTCCTTTATTATTTTCCTCCACGATTATGCATGTTCTTCCCAAGTCGCATGGATGATTGGTTACATTTAACTCTGATTTCGGCTGCGTAAATAAAAATACTTTACTTCGTTACATGTCTTTTGAAGGTCACCAACGCGTAGAGATGTCCTTTGAGTACAGATAATTATATTTGATAATTGCTGTTTTCAAAGTTCTGATGGCGTGCTATATGGATGGAGGTATTACAAAGAACAGAAGACACATGCGTCGTCTTTCTCATTATTGTTGATTTAGGAGCTACAAGCACTGCTCATGACTTATTTGACCAAATCTTCTTAAGAGTTTAGATTAATACAAGATTAATATTAGTGACACAGCCAGCTTCCACTTCACCAATGTGACGTTTAACTAAAAACGTCGCTGTTAAGTGATTATCAATGCTGTTTCACATGTATGAGGTCCGAAATTTATTTTTAGGCCCGAATACCGGCGGTTATTAATGAAATTATTTATTTTCCTCAGTCAGGTAAATATTGGTGTAGTATATTTATTTTGTACAGTCTATACACAAACGTTTGAAGTTTATTGGTGTTGTAAAAATTATATAATATTAAAACATTTTGTTGTGTAAAATATTATATTAGCGCTCTTAATCGTATTTACGAAAATAAATATATTTAATCAAACACAAACATGACGCATATAAGATACAAATTGGTGTAGTAGTTTAAATACGCCACTAAGGCTACTGTGTTTTAGATCGTCTCTGCTTTTGTAGTGTGGTTTTACGAGTTGTTACTAACGTTTCAGAGGAACATACCACCTTTATCTGTAGGGTTGAAGTGCTTGAAGATCGGAGCGATAATTTTTTTCGAAACTTCGATAATCATATGCAATTAACAAGGCGTCACCACCCAGAAGACCAGAATCTTTATAGCCGTGATAACCTCAGGTCTCAGTTTAAACATTTCGTTTCAATAATCTGCATGATGAAATTAAGAGTAGAATACATTCCGGAAACTCTTGTTTTCATTCAATTTAGAAACTGGTGTCATCCCGTTTGCTATACAAAACACTTTTCATCAGGATATACAAAACAATAATTTTGCATGTTGTCTGGTATGGTTGTGAAACATGGTCTCTTACTTTGAAGGAAGAGCATATATTAAGAGTCTTTCAGAACAAGGTGCTCAGGAGGATATTTGCACCTAGGAGGGATGAAATAAGTGGAAAATCTAGAATATTACATAACGAGGAGCTACATAAATTGTACAGGTCACCTAGCAGAGTCAGGATAGCGAAGTCTAGGAGACTTCGATGGGCTGGGCATGTGGCACGCATGGGGGGAAGGCAAGGGGAAAATTCAGAATTTTGGTGGGAAATCCTTCTAGAAAACAGTCACTGGGCAGACCAAGAAGGTGATGGGAAAATATCAAGATGAATCTTAGGAAGGTGGGCTACGAGGATGGTAAATGGATGGAGTTGGCTCAGGATCGTGTCCGGTGGAGGGCTTTGTTGTTGTCGGTGTTGCCCCTCCGGGTTCTGCTACCAGAGAGTTAGTTCATTAGTTGGAACTTTAAATAGCTTGCGGCTGGAAGGAAATCACATAGGCTACACTGTGTAAACCAAAGACGTTTCTGATCTGTAACAGAGAGCGAACTACAAAGTACTGTCGCTGGGAAATAATGTTTGCTGTATGGACTGTTCTGACAACACATTCTTCCTTATCTGTTCCATTTCCAACCATTTTCTTCTCACGGACGTGGAGCGCACAGATTCGTCCCGGATACTGTACTTTTCGTGCAAAGATCGCATAGTCATTGAAATGCGAAGAGTCTGGTTCCGGCCTCCGCCCTGTCCTGTGCTTCCTCCACCTGCGTCAGAACGCCGCGCCGCCTTCAGGCGTGACTCTTTAGCTGGATGTTGATGTGACAAGGTCACCTGCTCTCTTTAATTACAAGTATTATCTGCACTGACTTTATAACAGGAGTGGACAAATTAAAGCAACGGAAATTTTTTGAGAGCAAAGTGCTGGGAAGGATAGACCGGTTTAGTTCTAAGAGAGATCAAATAACAAAGGGTTTAAACAATTAAGCAATTTAAAAAATACAATGTATCTATTTATGTGATCCTTAAACTGTATCTCATATCCTAAGAGAAGGACATAATTGAGGGTGAGATTTCAGGTTCTCACGGCGGCGAATATGAAGACGACTGTATTCTGTGTTGTTGCACCGTGCGATGTAATAAAACTTTATCGACGTTTCAGAGGTTGTTACTGCCTCTGTAATCAGATCGAAGATCATCGTCGCTATCATTGCTCTGATTATGGAAGCAGCAAGCATCTTTAAAACGTTGGTAAACTTGCATCAACCCATTCTTCATACTCGCCGCCGTGAGAACGTCAAATACCATTAACCTGATACTGTTTGGGTGATGTGGGCCGAACATGTAGAATGCACATTGAATGACAGGATGTTAGTCGGAATACCTTGACGGAAGACTCTACTTGGGAGACCTAGACATAGTTGGGACACTAATATTTATATGGTTCTTAAGGAAACAGGTTGTGGAATTGGCTGTATTTATCTGGCTCTGGGTAGGATCAAATGATATGGGATTGTTTAAAAACAGGGCGATACAACTTTTAGTTCTGTAAAAGAGAGCAAAGTTCTTGAAAAACGATCGTTTGGCAACCTGGGGCGGAGATGCATGAATGGCATTAAACTAGAGCAAAGGCGTAGAATCAGGCAGGCAAGGGGAAACCACCTGATTATATTCCCAAGAGAGCGCTTCGTGGATGGACGATTCCAACCCATGAAGGGCCACCACGCCCTGTTAAGGGCCAAGGACAGAGGAGGAGAGATCTTAAATAAATAATGTTTGGTTTTGTGAAGTGGCAGGCTCTGATACCAGTGGAGAGGTTTTATATTGGCGGTCTTAAAGATCCTGGTCCCAGTACAAGATAATCAAATAATTAATTGTTAATACTGCTGCTATAAGCATTTTATTTCAAAAGAAATGTTTCAATTTGCATACATTGTAAAGTAGTAATACTTATAAAAATATAAATCATTTAATGTCATCATCTACTGAACACATTGCTTTGTTGGATATATTCCAGTTGAAGTCATGAATTTTTGGAAGAAAATAAGCTAATTCATCGCTGGTTCAGACAAGAATGGAGACGAATGTTGCCCATAATCTAGCTTGAAGTCGTCATCATGTTAATTGTTGGCAGTGATTTGACGTTTTCATCCCCAATATGCGACAGGGTAGTAAGCTGGGTAGTAGGCGTAAGGGTAGTACACAGTCTCGGAGCCTGCTAGGGTTTCCTTAGGGACAGATCCCGCTGGAAATGGGCGGGGGCCGGGAAATGCGGCTCCTGAGGCCATGGACACCAGGACAGCCAACAAAATAACTCCTGCCTGTAATAAAATATCTCAGAATTAAATATGTTTATCTGTGAACAAAATTCAAAGTAAAGAGTGTGTTGGAGATCGACTACAGAACCGACCGAATTTTATTATGAGAAGAAAGCGGCAGTGTCATGACATGTGGCACGCATGGGGGAAATGAGAAATACAGAAACATATATCCTGAAGGGAAGAGGCCATTTTGAAGGCCTTGGCTTAAAATCGAAGATAATACTAAAATATATCTTACAGCAGGTATCACCAGCCTTTCTAGGGTGACGGGAAACTAGGAAGAGCTTATAAGCTATAGCGACACCGTATAAGTCTATCAGAATTTTATATTTGTACGCCTTATGAATATTATGAAAGTATTGCGGGCATCATAAATGTTGAAGGCATTTGGACACGAAGCAATGACTCGAGATGGACTAACGGGTGAAATGACGTAACGGGCCTCGAGGTTTTCCTTTTCGTCTATCATTGTTAAGTTTACAAAAATGTGAAGTTTGAATAGCCAGACGTTTAGTACGCATGGAGCAAACAATAAATGCGAAGGTCTGCAAGGTTTTGGTTGGAGAAGCTTCCTTTAAGATCTTGAGGACAGTTAAACCACATTATACTAATTTTACGTAAAAACCAAGAGCACGCCGGACTTAATATGCTGTATCTTGCAGCCACTAGAACGTTCTTCTGTATTTGTCATGTGAAATTGTTATATTATTTTCGAAATTTCTGTTTGTCAAGTTCGCCTTAAAATTGATGACATCACCCATATATAAATATATGTTTTAGATAATGTGGTAAAAAAGTGAATCATAGTTTTCTTGCTCATAGATAGATCATCGGTTGAATTTTAAAGCTTTACATTCCAGTGAATCTTAATGTAACTCATCTTAGAAAATAAATTGGAATTAAGTGGCTGGGCGTTTCGTTCTTACGCATCAGGATGAAAATTTTGTACCATGGAGTTGCTTATTGTCTTATCTCATTTCTCTTAGGAACCATACTGACCCCGACGTCCATATCAGACAGCACACGTCAGACCATGTGACGGAATTGTCTATAAATACAGGTTACCAGATAGTTTGAGGTTTTCATGATCTGTGATCCGAAACACGCCTGTTTGCGAAATAATTAAATACGTAATTGAATCTCGTGCGGAACAGAGGAGCTGTCAAACCGTAAAATGACAGAATTATATTTATATCTTGACAACTGATCTTCCTTATGTGTTACTGGATTTTCCTTATATCTTTAAAGAACAGAGGTTGTTTTATCATTCATTAACCCTACATTTTTTCCACAAAGTGTATTTATGGGTTTCGTGTAATTCTCAGAATAAACAGCTACCTTTTCTCTAAACATCATTAATCAGCCGGTTTTTTGTAACAAAGGCGCGGTTTTGTTAGATGGAAACTGAATTTTTAAAATTATTTTGATAAATTTCATGCTTCAAAGGGTTAAGTAGTTCATATTTACGCTTCTGGACCCGAAGGTTCGTCCTAGTTGTCAGAAGCCTGCCATTGGATCCTACTCTGAACTACATTAGTCTTGCTTGCATATACACAACTTACTTGTGTTAGATAATATTTTAACTTGACGCTTCTATGTAGACCGAGGTCTATGAATATAGACTTAAAATTTTCCAGCCATTTATTTCCTCCTCTGCGTGCTACCTGTTCTGCGCATGTTATCCATTCAGATCGTTATTCTTTTAACACGTATTTGGTGATGAGCGCGTATTTGTAAGATTGCCGTCATGAAATTTCTGTATCTGTAATAAAATATTACACAGTCAAAATGCACTGTGTATTTCCCTCGTGACTGCATTCGCACACTTGATAAATTTTTATACAATCTCTGTACTTACGATGAACTTCATGGTGATGGCAGTTGCTGGTTGTTAACTCTGCCGGTGGTCAATAGCTGGCAGGAGGAACCATCCTGACATTTATACTTAGAAGCATGAACACCCCTTCTCTCCGCAAATGGTGCTATCGTCACACGTATTCTTGCATTTCCGTGCACGATTTGCTTAACAATGTCGTCCTTCACTGTGAACAGATTTTTAAATTTTTTTTCCATGCTCTGTTGAGTTTTTTCTCATTTCAATAAGTTACTGGGAAGTCGACTCTCTCTCTCTGCACCTCTCGATCATTCTCTCATTCTCTTCAACATACCTCATTAGTTACATGTAGATGGTAATTGACAGATTTATAGACGTTATGGTTAATCAGGTAACTACAGACGTAGATAACGTCTTCGAATGCCATTAAATAAATAAATATATCTATGTATGCATTTATTTATACTTATGCACCAATTTATTTTATGTACCTACAGTTCTAAGTATTAAAATATACCCTCACATAAATCTACTTTTGTGTGGTTTAAATCTTGGCTCCTATCTTAATAGCAAGCAAATTCATAACATAAACTCTTTATCAGTATTATTAGGGCGATAAAATCAAGGATGGTGGCGTATAGGGGATGCAGCATTCATGGGGGAGATGTGAAATATGTACAGGAGGCGTCCATTTGGGAAACATTCGTAGATGGGATGATAATATTAAACTTATCTTAAAGAAGTAGAGTATGGATGTGAGAACTGGATTCATCTGACTGAGGTTAGGGTACGGTGCAGGCTCTTGTTAACGTAAATAAAAACATTGTGATTCCATAGAAGCCGGGAAATTCCTTTATAGCTGAACGAATAAGTTATGAATGAGCTCCTCAAGAGGGGGTGTTTATTTGCATGGAAAATAAATTTTAGTTGGATCAGTTTTTCTTTTGTATTTTTATTTTAAGACTTGATTTCGAATTTTGTTTTGAGCTGGAGTATCGCCGATGCGATTGTGCCTAACTAGCTACATTATACCTCCTTGTAAAGGAGCACACAGTTTTAATGCAGTAATGTGCACATCGCTGAACTGTGTACCAAAGGAGTTTATGAGCCAGGCGTTGAATCAGTGTGTACAAGACACATAAGTGAAGAGTTTCGAATGCACGGGAGTGAAGGTAGATACAGTAGCCACATTGCTGAACACGCCGTGGATGTGTAATGAAGAGAACTGAATAGCCTTGAACTTGCCTTCGGTTGGCGAAGCACGGAAGTATTTTCCTGCCCTGAATAATAAGTGGTTTGCCTTGTCGCAGAGAAGAAGAAGTATTAGAAGTGCCTTATCCATCCTACAACGAGTAATCTGTTTGAGAGATTTTATATAATTGTTGAGTGGCGTAATTAGACAGTTACTTTTGAAACTTATGTAATTAAATATCATTATATGTGGAATGCTGTTGACTTGTGATCCAAATTCCTTAATGAAACAGGTGCCGTCTCATTACTTTATTAATTTCCTTTTAATACATTTTTATGGAGATCTACGAACGCAGTGTAGGGTGAATGCAAATTCTGCAAGGTAAAACTTAATGGCATGAAAGTAAGGAGGGTGGAAAAAGGAACGTAGTTGCAGGAAAAGAATAATAAAATAAAAAATAAGCGCGGAGATAGCGTAAGAAAGGAAAGAGGAGACCAAGGTAGATGCGATAAAAGGGTTGTTGAATTGAGAGCAACAAAAGTGAACGCTAAAAGAAGCAGGTAAAGTAAAACCGGGGGAGAAATAAAGAAATGACAAGAGAACGTGGGTAACATTTTCTTTTTGATGGCCCTTATTTTAAATCTTGCTGCAAGACGTCGGTCGTAATGAGCCATAAACTTACCTTTCCTCATGCAGTAAACACGCAGCCTGTTAAACTTACAGTTTGTAACTTATTTCAATAAACGTTTGTTATCATAATTCACCCAAACCTGTTCCTTTTATGAGTTTAGACTCCGAAATCTGAAATGATGGTGCATTGTTACGAAATGGTTTAAAGAGAATGCGTAGAAAAGTAAAAGAAATACAAAACGACATAGTGTGTTTATAACAGAGTCAACCTTGTTCGTAAGTGACGTAATATCCGATCGAAAGTTCTGGTAATCTGGTGGCATGGATTTCCCTGCAATCCGACGCGTCGTGATTGTGAACGGAGACCAGTTGATTTGAATACTTGGCGAGAGGAGAACAGATACACGTTCTCCACCGCTGTACTTTGCAGAGTGCAAATAAGAACCAGCATTCAGATGCCATATCTCTGACATCTTGTCTTCTGTATTGAATGATGCATTTGGAAGTTTCTCTGTCACTCCAAGGAAGATAAGGGTTCTCGTGGCGCCGAATATAAATATGACTGTCTTCTGGGATATTACGCCTTGTAGTCTAATATAAGTTGATGGGTGTTTTAGAGGTGCTTAATGCCTCCGTCATCAAAGCGCTACGCCTCAGAAGACAGTCATCTTCATGGTTAGGGTAAGTGTCTTATAGAGAGTCTTTCTGAAAATGTCCTTAAGTGCGTTTAATTACCGGTAAAATCTCGTCACTAAAACACGCGCTGTTCTACAGTGCGTTCGAAAATCCACTGTGCAGGCACGCTTTTGCATGTAGGTCTTGAAAACACTGGCACTGGCAGTGAGATGACGCAGCACTGGCAATACTGGCAAATTGTGGTTAACTTCACCGCGACTTTTCGAACAACCCGTATTATGCGCATAATCTTGCGATTATCACGAGGGGCAGTGCATCCTCTCAAGATTACTGAACTCTGAGACACAAAATACAATGATGTTTGCTAATTATATGCAATTAAAACTAGAGCATATTCTTAGAAAGACCCTCTAGATAAACTAGCAGATTGTCTAGCAGTAATGCTACTGCGGGGAAATTTGAGGACGGTGCATTCAGTAAACTCTGCACACTGGAAACGTTTTTCTTATGTTAATCACGATGAATGTCGGAAATTGAATTATCAGCGTAGAAGGTCTGAGTGTCACTGAGCTCAACAAATTGACGTTGTCGGTGTGCCATAACTTTGCTTGAATTACTTTCTGCATGCATCCCTACGCATGTCCGGAAATTCCACCAAGTTTTCAGGGTCACACCAACAGATCTAGACAGTGATGTCACAAGACATTCCGTCAGACTTCGGTTCACCCAATGCTCTAGAATGGCACAACCGAATCATAGAAATATCATGTTAATGTGACCCTTGCTTTATTCTCTTTTTTATAATAATAACTGAAGTTTTTACTCAGAATAAGAAACCACGTTCACACCATTATAAAACATCTCGAAAAGTGGGAAGGAAAGTAAGACATATGTAATATTTTTCGTATGAAGCGTTTTTAGAGCTAAAAATTTGTTTGTACCAAAAGTTGTTATCGTGAAGGGGCGCCTGCAGAAATGAAGTATGCTCTCCCGCCGAGTGCCGTTGCAGCAGGGCGCTGTGATTAACAGGGGAAGGCCAAAGAACACGGAGAAAAATAATCTCCCCTTGCCACATGGTATATTGCGATTATAACAACTGTTACAATTAACGAATAATAGGGAAAATGTGGGAGAAAACAGCAGTGATGCATATTCAGGCACCGCACCTGCTCTGTTCTGGAGTGGGTGAGGAATTCTTAGTCAGTATAGCCGTAATACTTTTAAAACACAAATCTTTCTTCGTCGTTGATAGCTACCTGCTCAGTAGTAACCTATAATATTAAATTAATTTGAGGGAGATAGGTCTAGTAAGGAGAATTTTGATCGGCTGAATAACTTACGAACAGTTCAAAGTGTGTTTCGTACCATCTAGTTGATTATGTCCACTATAGTTGACGCCATATTCAAGTGATTTGGGAGATCTGTAGCCAGTGAAGGAACAAGGTAATAATAAAATAAGGGACACCCAGTATTCTTGTTATTATATTTAATAGTAGTCTTGTGACTGTACACTGTGCCAAAACATCAAAGAAGGTATCTATATCAGAATCACTTCCTCGTCTTAAGAATCTGCAGTCGAAGTTTCAAGAAGAGAAGGTCCGTAGTTCATAGCTCGTAAGTTATCATAACAAATGCTGTGTCGGGGGGTTGTTTAGCGGTAATAGTATCCGTAGGGGTGGTACACGGCAGCGGGAACGTTGTACGCGTAGGGGGATGCCACATACACTGCCTCAGAGCCTTTCAGGGCTTCCTTGGGAGCGTCAGCGGCATAACAAGCCACGACGGCGAACAGGAGGAGCAAGGCAATTGCCTGGAAAAAGAGGCACAACACACATGTATAGTAGCACAATACTATTCTCGTCTGATATGACCATTTAAAGCCGTAAGCAACCAGTAGCTGTTCAGTTTGTGTGATTCTCAGAAGAAAGAACTATTATTTCTTTAAACAGCATTCACATACAACTTTTGTAATGGCGAAATACTATTTTCTGTTTCCATACCACGTTAATATTATTAGTTATATTGGAAGTCACAAATGTTACCGTTGTAAGTGGGATCTGTAGGGCTTAAAATCTTCACAAAAATATTATTATTTGTTGTATTATACTAAGTTTTCCAGTAAACATTAATTTAGATACTACTTCTTTGTGGATTAGATGTTTGTGAAGTAGTGCTATCTAAGCAAACAGTAAGAAATCGTCACCCTGGAAGCCGTAAGCTTCATTAATCTGTTGCAGTACTTACGAAGTACTTCATATTGAAGACGGTGCGGTGACTGATGCTGAAGTCTGTACTGTGTAATAATTGGTTTGTATTGTTCGGGTCCAGTATTTATACTTGAACTTTGTCAGGGATGTTGGGACCCTTTACAAAGGGGATGTGGACAGGTTGGTTCACTCCTACATCTCAATAAGCAAGCCCTGTCTCAGAACAAGAGTGTAATATCTCTGGTTGTTGTTAGGACAACATTTTCTATAAAATGTCTTTTGCCCTTTTATGAACTTTCTCTCGACTACGATCAGCAAGAATTTGTTTGTATCTGATGGCTGATTAAATAAATGTGAACACTTGCTGGCAGTTTTGTTTTGTGCTTTGTTTTATCTAATATTCATAGAATCCTGTATCTTCCTATTCTGTCTCGAGGTTTTGATCCGTTTCTATACGCTGATAGCCAACTGCGATGCAGTGTAGTTGATGTTATGCCCTCGTTAAGGCTTTTCCTGCTTTTATGAAATCGATTGAAGTGTTTTTAGAAACTCGCATTGGACCTTGTTTTAAGCCAGTTAGAACCAGTGCATATCCTAATACCCTCAATATAGTGATAATGCCTTAAAACAGATAGGTGGGTGTTTGGACCTTGTCCATCGTCTGATGCCTATTGATGGACAAGGTCTAAAGACCCAGCAATGCAGATTGTAATTCACCATCGTCAGAAAGTTTCATAGAAGAAATCCATAGCTGCCATCGGTTGTTAGTAGCGTGTATACGATTTTGGGTCCCTCTGACATGGAGATCACGGGTTTGAATCTCATTCTTGGCATATTTTCTGTATTGTAATGACCTGAGTATGTTCCGATTGGTCCATCTCCAATTCAATAATTCCTGCTAGATGCCTAAATAATTTTTTCAGTATTAATATAGGATACAAATCGGACAGAGATCCTAATTCATGTTCGCTAAAGAAGAAAGAAAGAAACAAAACGGATGAATGACTAAAAATTTCTGACTGCAAGTGGTAAAGGGATTGAGAATTACTTAAATGTGAATGAGGTGACATGGAGTACGATTCTATTATTACGTTAATGATAATTTGTTAAATGTTTTCCTCGAATAAAATTATACTCTGATATCAAGAGCAGGCTTTTTCACTTCTGAATAAGATATGTTGTCTGTTAAAAGTACGAAAGGTTACGGGATAAAAACTTCTGTAGTTATGAATCTGTTTGTAGGATGCGAATTTAAGCCACTTTTGCATTGACCCTCATAACAAAACTTCGTACATTGATGGCCTTGGTTTCAGTTTTCAAGTCCATGGGTGTGGTCTTGAACCTATGCAGGCGGAATATCGTCAAAGTAATTTCTCCACATTTTATTTTCTTGCTTGGCATCGTATTCATTATATAAAGTTGAGTTCCTAATAAAACTGCTAACCGTGAATTGGTCCAATAGGTTTTTGTTTTGAAGAAAGCCTCATCACTTTCTTCTTCCTCTGGTTATTTTGACGGTCTCAGATCCCAAGACCTTCATATTGGAACTCATTACGACTTCTTTATAACGATGCGTGTTAGGAGCGGTTATTCTGGCACGTGTAACGTGGTGATTTTAATGGCACAGACATCGATTATTGTCTTTTAAATGCGATGATGGCCTTCGTGAGAAAGCAATTGAAACAACTTTACTGCAAGAGCAATTTGAATTGTAAATGCTGATGTTTTCATTAACTTGTTTTAAATATTTAATTACTGTTCCCGAGGACATCCACTTATGAATTAATAGAAAATAAATTATTCTAACATATTGACATTCCTTTTATTTGATGTGGACTTTTCGTTGTTGCTTAAGTATTACTGAAGTTCTTACATTGAAGGAACAGTGATCTTATCTGATAGAACTACACGTAAGTCTCAGAGGAGGAATCCATTGTTATTATTAATTACCTATAAAACGAGACCGCTATGGTTATTATTGGAGTGACAAGAAGCAGTGTAATGCTGTTATGACTTACGAAGCATGTAATTATGCTAACAATCTATCCCATAACAAAGTAACGTGCACAGAATATTGCATCGTCTTTTATATTTTAGTTACACAATTTGAATTACAATAAGGTTTAAGAAATAATCTGAGTGGCATTGTTGCATTCTTCCGTAGAAATATTTATTTCATTTACATTTGCGTAGAAATTAAACAGAACGTTGTGTTTATTCATTGGACATCCAGTTATTTTTAGTTATTACTTCTCTTTACAAGGAATTTATGTGAAAGTTATCGCAAGATTGATGTCTTTTCAAAGGACGTACGCTGCCACTGAGTGAAATCGTTGTTACAGCAAAATACCCGTGGCCGGTTTAACGTTTAGATTGAACGAGTAAATATGATTTGGTTGTATTGACATCTTACAGAAGAATTGTACGTGAAACCCAGTGTGGGTAAAACAAATTTCGCCTTTGTGCTGGTGCACCTGGGTGGCAGTAAGAGTCCGTAAGACAACGCAGAGTATTCTTAATGCTGGATGAAACATAGTCAAGCCTGTTCGACATAATTACAAAATACGTACGTATGCGTAGAAAGTGTTCTCCTGCCCTCCACAAAGCAGAATAGACAAAATCAAAATGATCTCTCCTTACCTCTGCTGAAGAAGATTAACAATATTTTCCGTCCTCGATTTCTCTCCGGCTCCATAGCTTTCTCTTAATTCGGTTTGTAACGAAGTGAATTTGGAAGCCTATCATTGCACATTCTGTAATAGTGGGGTTGCGATTTATGTGTCTTTTTCCAAATTTGATTGGGCGTGGAGCTGACATTCTTGAAATTGTGCCAAACGTTTGCAGTTGACTCCAAATTGGACAGAATATTTTGGTACTTATTCAGGATCGTGTCTATGGACGGTGTTGAAGCTACGGTTCCTACTATGGGAATGTTAGTGTCAGTGCTGTTTGTGTTTGGCCATCGAGAAGAATACACGTGGTGGTCAGTGTTATATAATCCATTAACACACCCGGATTTTCCGCTCCAGAGTCTGAATATGGCTGTGAACACATCCGAACACTGTCACTGTGATTAAGATGACGTCATCCTCCGCAAAGTATTCCGTCATACATTTTATGAAAAATATCGTACTACCTGGGTGCAAATCATTCCTGTTGCAATCCATGCTCATGTACTTTATGGTTCAGGAGTTTGCGTTCGATAGTTTCTAAGATGATAAAGAAATCTCGCCAAGAAATTCTCCCCTCATGATCGTAGTTACAGAAACTCGCCATTGCATCTCATCTGTAAGATAAGTTTTAATATTATTCTTTTATTTATGCCTAGGTCTCCCAAATTATTAGGTTAAATGTAGGACGCTTAATGAATTGGAAAGCAAATGGAAGGAAACAGTTATGTCCTAATTTAAGGCACATTCCCGGCGTTTACCTGGAGGGACTGAGTAAAAGAACAAAAACTTGAGTCAGTGTAGACAATCTCCGCACCGAGATTTGAATTCGGAACCTCCCGAATACAAAGCAGGAATTTTAACCAATCAGGCGCGACTTTTGGTACAGTATAATCCAAGACTCAACATTTCTTGTAAATCGGTCTCCTTTGCCGAATCTGCTACGGTAATGGAGATAATTCTAACAACGCGTAAGTCGAGAACTAGCATGAATTCTAGTACACAGTTTTTGTCAACTTACTTAATACATTTTGACTGAAAAATGCGGAACCTTGGCCTTGTCTTTAAGCCAGTTGACTTTGAACTACCAGAAACCAGGTTCGGAAGGGCGTGTCTCCTTGCGATTACTTAAGGCCACCTTTTATTTTAATTTCAGAATATATCGTCACGAAGCTTGAGTGTGGGCGGAGACCTTGAATTATGAATTAAAATTTGCGTTGTAATAAACTACAGACGGATATTAGATCAGTGCCCAAATGTGAGCCTTGTTGTTTGATGTTAATTTTATAATATAAAATATTTATAATGTATAATAATCTTCAAAATCTTTAGTCTGTAATTTCCTTTCAGGGGGTGACTTCTTGCTGCAATTAGGAAAACAGGCCTGTCAGGAACTTCAATTCTTCTCGTGCTGTTTCCTATTTCTGAATTTCTGACCACCATTAATGAACAGGTCGTACCATCGCTTTACGATTTTTTGAAAGAATGTATTCCATTCTAAAGCGATGTAACTGTTTCAGGGGTAAAGCATAAGTGAATAACATTTAAAAGTTCAGTTCCTGTCATCAGGGAAACACAATTGCCTGAAACATGCAGTTTGTTGTACGAAGTTTGGGGAACTTGTCGCTGTTTGTTCTCAGAACAAACAAAATTGAAAGACAAGTTCATATCGAAATGACTGATAACTGAACGTTGAGTATTTGTAACACGGAACCACTGCGTTGTGTTGAGCTAATCTCTGAAGCAAATTTGTTTTATACGAAGGAGATTCAACGGAATTTAACATAACAAAGACAGTGGACCGCACCTAGAAAAAATGTTGTTAGTTCTTGTACCCGGACATACTGAGTGTGACGTGCACACAAGGCTGAGTAAAATTCGTGGGCACTGAGTCACTGGACCAACAGTGACCCATTTGCTGCTGCGTATATTAAATTAAGGCTGGCAGTATTTCCAATACCAGACCACGGTGTTGGTCACGATCTTTAATAGTTCTCATCCACGTGCTGTCCCCACACATTTTACCTATAAAACGTGTCTTAATGTTATCATCCCGTTTTTCTATCTGTCTTCCAAGTTACCGTTTCCCAAGAGCTTTCACAGCCAAAATTTTGTTATGTGCAGGTGATTGAAATGACCCAGGACAGGATGCAATAACGAACATTTTTTCACGACGGATCTATAAATTCTATAAATTTATTGAATAATCGGATAACTATCCAAGAAGTTAAGTGCTGATATAGATCCACACATATGATGCGCTCACATGTGGCTTAAATTAGAAAAGACAGAAAAAATGTATATGCGGTGGGAACGTATTTAAAACAGGTTTGTGGTGTGGTCAGGGCAGTGTGGTTTTCGAACTAGTTCCAGTCAGCTGAGTAGTGAAGTATACGTTTCTCATACCCCGTTTCATATCGACCGGGACTTGTAACAGCATGCGTTAGATAACCTTACCATTTCTGGCGACGTAACAGATACAGTTGGGATCGAACCTGACACCACAAGGTCGAATGGTTGATCCATGGACTAATAAGATACAGAGAATCTGAACGTCCTTGTTCAACAAGTCATATACTATAACGAGGCCATACCGGATGCTTGGTCGGTTGTTTGACGACGCTGTT